GTCGCTCCATCTTCTGTATTTTGAATCAAATGACCCACTAGGACGGGATCTGAGTATCAGGATAGCGTCGGTAAAGTGGTAGCAGCGTTGAATGGGGCTTAGGCAGTATAAGTCGACCATACACCGGATCATTTTGGATAGTCTCTATACGGCTATAGCCATGTATTCCACCGAGCTCGACCAAGCCCTTTAGACAACGACGTATAATCCAATTTATCCTTCATTGCATTTTGCCAGTCAACCTTGGAATTTACCAATGAGAATCGTGTTGTTTTTAATGCTATCTGGAGGTAGAGAAAAATATAATTTACAATGAATGGAATGTGGGTTGCCAAGTGCGGTGACATTTAATATGTATGGATGACGAACTCTCAGCACAATCATCCGTTACCAATTAGGAGGTATGTGTTGTTTAGCTGTGCATAGGTGACTTCTTCCTATAGTCAATATACCTCTGGGCCTAGAAAACAGCAACATGCTTCTCTTCCGCCAGCTCGCCCATAATCTTAGAGCTGTAAGCCAATATAAAAATACATATTATTCGCTAATATTACAGCTATCCTTTGAGTTAGGGAGTGTAGGCGGCCGACTAGGCTCGGGCGGTCGTGATATGGGGGGATCAGAGGGCATGAAATTACGGTGCACCCTCGGGTGACCCGGACCCGTACTCACAGGTAAAACTTTGGCTTCAGAGGCCATACCCGGATCCGCCTGGGTATTTCGCTGCAGGTACCCGTTGGCTCACAAGGGTCAATTTGAGTGCCCAAGGAGGTGCCGTCTGCATGGTTTGGCGGGTATACCTGGATCCACATATCTAGCCACAACGCAGGTACTTGCATGGGTCAGGTACTTGTACCCGAACTTTTTCTCTCGGACCACTGGAGGGCTACTCGTAGGTAGATCCGCACCCGTGCCATGCCCTGGAGGGCCCACAAAATACCACTGTCTTGTCCTTTTGAATTTACCTCGGTTAGTGTCTGCTCCTGCTTTCCTACGTTTTTGCGTTTATTTGAGAGAGAAAGGTGGGTGAAAAGCGAGTTCAGATCACAGAAGGCAGGACTTAGGAGGCGAA